ATATAGATAAAAAATTATACAAATTATTAATGGATTATAATTTCTTTATTATTCTAAATTTGTTTTCAAACCTTGTTAGTTTTTCTGCTGGTAGTATATTTTATTACAGAACTCTTATTTGATGTAATTTGGTTTTTTGCTTTTGAATCTCCTTCTAGTAGAATTTCTTTGGAAGAATTGCTTTGACTTCCTGTGTCTGACACATCATCGTATTTTTTGTTAATATTACGTACAGTTTCTGGAGCTGCTAATTTTTCTTCAAAACCTCTACGACACAAGAATTTATATTGTAATTTTCTTCACATTCTTTACAACAATGTTTAACCCGTTCCCTATTATGGTCCTTAGGGGATTGGAAACATTCTGCTATTTGGTAGCACTAATTACAAATTTAATTACTCGTTTCTTATTATATGCAAACGTCACTTTAAAGTGTACACGTTTGAAGTTAATTTTTTTTCAGACCAATTTATAGTGGAATAAATGTTTGAATTAATTTTGAACGGTAACATCTGGCAGGAACTGAGTTAAAAATTGTTTCAATAACTTACATCTGCTCTTCTTGCTCCTCTAAGGAAGTATCAGATTTTGTGTTATTTTTGGACAACTTTGCCTTAAGTCTTTTAACAGTTGTTTGTAACTTATGACACTTCTCGAAACTTTGAATTAACTCCCTGCAAATGTAATCATTAATAATAGTCTATTGTTTTAAAGTACTTTTCATACTTCTTCATAATAGAAATGTATCTAGTAAGTATGTCAGGATCTTTGGTATTCTGAATCATCTTACTGACATCACTGAGAGGAGAACGCAATAATGTTTGTATTCTGAAACATACAAATAGATTGACATAAATATGATAAGGGAATCTGGATATACATGAAATTTACATACGGCTTAAGCTCTCCAATTTTACTTTTTAAGTGAGCAATTCTTGACTTCAGGTAATCACATTGCAAATTTTCCTCTTTAAAATATTTGATTTGTTCATTCAAAGCATGTATTGCTGCATTTTTTTTATTAATTTCACCTTCCAATTTTGTAACTTCTTCCTTTAATCCAGTGTTTTGTTTCATCAAAGTGACACTTTTGGAAGAGTGAAATTCAATTTCTCTTTCCTTCAATAAAATTTGGAATTTCAAATTGTCAACTTTTTCTTGCAATGGAGAAGTTTGATAATCAGTTGTTGTATCATTGCTTGAAAATGTAAAATAAAGCCTATGTATTTTCTTTTCTGTAACTTTTTCTCTACATTGTGGACAGCTTTTTGATCTATAAACAAGTTACAAACATGAACTCGAAAATTCACGATTTTCCACAATACTGTTTTCCTTATTT